CTTGGGTTCAAGCAATTCTCCTGCCTCAGCCTCCTGAGTAGCTGGGACTACAGGCGTGCGCCACCATGCCCAGCTAATTTTTGTATTTTTAGTAGAGACAGGGTTTCACCTTGTTGGCCAGGATGGTCACGATCTCTTGACCTTGTGATCCACCCGCCTCGGCCTCCCAAAGTGCTGGGATTATAGGCGTGAGCCACCACGCCCAGTCGGTTTTTATACTTTTATATGGCTGTAACATCTTCGAACAACCTAATAATAAACAACTTTAAACATAATTTAAAACCATTGTTAGATGGCTCATATAATACATTTACTATCAAATGAATTGACATTCTAATTGTTGATTTGCTCAGCTATGATTTTGGCATTTTTGGTGTGTACTTGGGAATTCTAGTATGCTGGTTTATTTTAACAAGATTCTTTAAAAATCTGACTTTTCTCTTTCTCCTTCTACTTTGCAGTTGCCTAAATCCATCCCCTTGATCCATCCCCCAGCCCTCATGGGCATTTACAGCTCTTGTTCCATGGTGATGTTGTGGATATCACAGATTCAAAGAGTGCCTTGATTTAGGTCTTGATTGTGAGGATACATCAGTGTTCTCTCTCCTTAGGCAGGACCTTCTTTCATGGGTGAGAGACACTCATACCAGTGCTGACATCAGGCACTGAGCCTGACATAGGCCTTCGTTTTTCAGAACCCTCATAGTCCCACTAGCTTTCCGGGGGTTGAGCTCCCATTGCCCTGCCATCTTTGGACACACAGCTTAACAAGCCCACAGCTTCAGCCCCACCATATGTTTACATTTCTGCTCAGCTTTTTGTCTCTAGAAATATATTTATCATACATTTGTCCTTTTATTTCTCCCTCCTTCCCTCCCTCCTTCCCTCCTTCCTTCTTCCTCCCTTCCTTGTATTATTTTCTTAAACATAGCAACAACAATAACATTGTTGTATCATTTTGGAGATAAGGGGAAACATAAAAGCATGAACTATATAATCTTAATTAAAATTAAAAATTTATTTCTTAAAAATTCTCCCACATTTCTAAAATGCCTACATGCTCCTTATGGGTGGACTCATTTTTTGAAACAATGATAGTATAGCTTGTTATTTTCCTGTTAGACTTCTTTGCTTTTTTGTTTAAATATTAATATATGGAATATACCTTTTTGAGAACATGCATTTATTCCTTTATCAACAAACATTTGTTGAAGGCACAGTGTGTGCCAGGTACTATTCTAAGTGATAGGAATACAGTAGTGAATACCACAAAATTTCTTGTCCTATGGAACTTACATTCTGCTAGAGAGAGGTAGGTAATATGGAAATAGGTAAATATAAAGTTACAGTTACCATTAAGATGAAAGAGGAATTGGGAAGAAAAGAATGAAGGAGGGTTTCTATTCTAGAAAAGATGAGGTAAGCATCCATCACCCAGTTTCTCTCTTTGAATACTACTGTAAATCTTGCATAGAATACGTGGAGAAGCTAACAGTGAACTTTGAAATTGAAAGAGTACCCCACAATTGGGGGAGGAGACCAGAATTCCAAGTTCTACCAAACCAAGACATTTACTATCTTTTCCGCCTGGAGCTGCCTGGCATGAAATCAGGGGTATCCCAAAACCCAGAAGTAAGTACCAGGCACAGAAACAACTCAAAAAGAAGCCTCATTTTCTGGTACTCTGCTCTTCTTACAGAATATGATTCATTGACCACTAAGCATTCTTTGACACGTATAAGAATCTTTTATCTGAGATTGCGCCATTGCACTCTAGCCTAGGTGACAAGAGTGAAATTCCGTTTCAAACAAAACAAAACAAAATAAACAGACAAAAAATAAGAAAAATAGTCAAAATATAGTAACTATAATAAAATATTCTCAAAAGAAAATCAAATGTAAAACAAATACATGAAAAAGGTGTTTAACCCAAATAGCAATTTACAAAGAAACAAGATCGTATTTTTTATTGCCCACTCTTACCAATTTAACAGAGACTTCTGAAGATAATTCTCAATTCTAATTAAAGTTTTCTGAAACACTTTTGGTTGTTGTTTTTTGTTGTGTGTGTGTGTGGTGGTGGTAGTGGTGATTTCTAAAATATATACTTTTATACATTGAAAGGTAAAGGTTAGCAATGATATCGCTGATTCTTTTTTCTCTGTGATGTACTGAGTTTTCTGACACAGTAATTTTTTTGGATATTGACTTTATAGTCAATTATACAGCTATGTATATTTTCAAAGGCATGCATCAACCTATCAAGTGACACTTTCCTTTCCTTTGGCATTGACATGTAGGTGTTCCCTGTGGCACATGTGTGCAATGACACAAATAAGATGACATTAATTAACCCCCAAGGAGTCAAGCTCAATATCTACAAGCAAAAAGTGGAACAGGCAATTCAATCCTATGAAAAGTGAGTATTACTCTTGGCTGCTCTTTAATGGATGTGGAATTTATTTTATGGAGGAGGAGATTTCTCTTGTTTTAGCTTAGCTTTTTTAAAAAAAACAATGAAGCGTCTATTTAAAAATTGTTCAGGCTGGGTGTGGTAGCTCATGCCTGTAATCTCAGCACTTTGGGAGACCAAGGCAGGAGGCCAGCTTGAGGCCAGGAGTTTGAGACCACGCTGGGCAACAAAGAGAGACCTTGTCTCCACAAAAAAAATTTTTTAAATATCACAAAAGGGTGATTGCAATCAACAATAATTTGTACATTTAAAAATAATTAGATAGGTATAATCAGAGTATTTGTAATACAAATACTCACAACATCATACTCAAGAAAGCATAAATGCTTGAGGTGATGGCTACCCCATTTACCCTGATGTGATTATTATACATCATATGCCTGTATCAAAATATCTCATGTAACCCACAAATATATACATCTACTGTGTACCCACAAAAATAAAAATAAAATTCTGTGATGAAAAATAAATAAATAAATATTAGTTGGGTGTGGTGGTGCTTGCCTGTAGTCCCAGCTATTTGGGAGGCTGAGAGGGGAGAATCGCTTGAGCCCAGGAGTTGGAGGCTGCAGTGAACTATGATTGCACCACTGCACTCCAGCCTGGGTAATAGAGTGAGACTTGTCTAAAAAAAGTTGTTCATAAGGAATATCAACAACAGTGGCAGCAGCTAGTGTAGGGGCTTCCTACATGCTAGGCACTGCATCAAGTACTTTACCTGAATATTTTCAGCAAGGTTTTAAAGAAACCGTCTTCCCTTTCCAAAATCTATAAAAAAAATCTCATTTCCATGAGATCCTTAAAGTTTTCCTTTTAGCAGAATGCATCTGATTGTTTTGGCATCTAACATTCTGTAAAATGACTAATAAAACTCAACAATAATGAGATAACAGAAGTAACAGTTTTTTTATTTTAAAATTACTTTTATCAAGTTCAAGATCATGATCAAGTTGATGGCAGTGAGAATAGCCCTTGTGTTCTGGCTGAGACAGGAGCCTCTGCTCCCATGCTAATCCTTGTCCATGCTGTAATCACCTCCCTCCCCAATCCCCAGCCCTTAATTAATCCTGGGTGCACAAACTTAAACTCTGAGCATTCCAGCTTCTTCAGGCCAGCCTGTCCTCAGTTCTGGGAATTGTGCAGTTGGGTTGTCATTTGCCACCACATGGGCAGGTGAAATAAAGTTCAGGAAAGTTAACTGTTGGCCCAGGCCAGCATGTGTTGATCTGCTGTCATTTTGCAATGTGTCTAGCATGTGTTTCAAACAAATATAAGTCCTGATCCTGTCCTGTGAGGCACGTGATCCAGTCCAATGGCAGTCCTCACCCTATGGTGCCCATCCTAGGCATCTCCCTGCCCCTTTTAAGGTGAGCCTCTTCCGCTGCCCTCACCACAGAATGGAGGCTGCCTTACTGGGCTTCTCAGTAGCCTCCATGGGTTTCTCAGAATTTCTGAATCTTTACCTGAGAGGAAGGAAGAACCAAGGATGAGCCTTTCTTTGGGAAGCAGGATGAGCTATACAAGGCTCACCCTTCCGCATGGGTCGGGGACTTCCAGACAGGCCTTGTCTCCCAGCTCAGCTCCTCTCCTGTTAGGCTGCTGTTCCCAGCTGGGCCTTTCATCCCTTCTTGCCTCAGCACCAACAACCCTCCTCAGACAGGCCTCTCAGGAGTGCTTCTCCACGCCCACCCTGCATGTGACCCTCAGAGCACTCATGGCTTCTACAGGGGCAGTGGCTTGGTGACCATCTCTGCCCTCTAGGATGTCAGCTCCCAAGGCCAGGGACTCAGCCATCTTTGTTTCCTCCTTCACCCCCTATTCCTAGCAGGTGCCGTATGTATATGACTATTGAAATTTTATATAATTCAATTCTTCAAATTCAGTCATTCAAAATACAATATGACAATGCCATTCAAATTCTAATGTAGTTTGCTTGAATAATTCAAATAGTTGAGTCCTATAATTACCTGGCCTGTGAAAGCCTGGTGCAGGGCCAGGAGCTAGATAGAGCTCTGCGGTCACACGGTTTGCGGGGGTTTCCTGCTTGGTTCTGACACCAGCTCTGTTCCAGCATGTGACAGTTGTGAGTCTCAGATTCCTTGTTCACAGAATCTGTCTCACAGGTCTGTGTGAGGATTGTGTAAGTCATATATAAAGAGGAACTGATGTTTCTTACTTCTCCCTTTCACTTATGGCTCTGCTGACCCTAAAATGACCACAGTGCATGGAGTGAAATTGTCATCTGGCTCTTCCCACCGCATTGATCTTTTCCCAAGGGTTTCAGGAAAGGTCAAAGACCCCCATTCCCAGGCCAAACAGAGGCCTCCTTTCTTAGCAGCAAAACCAAAACAAATATAAAGTCATTTGTCCACCTTCTTTCAATGAGTGAATCTGGAAAAGCCTCTAGAGAAATATTGTTTCTATATTGTTATTATTTATATTAACTTAAAATCATTAATAACAATTTTAACATGATTGATATTTAATAATTAAGTTACTAATTGAATTATTTGATATTGCTAATTTGATATTTATATCAAGTAGATTATTTAACATTGTTATGTAATAATATTAATATTAACATGAATATTATACAGAACCAAATTTCCTGATCATTCAGTAGTGTTTAAGAGTGTTGTTGGTATAAATGTCAATTTCTTTTTCCATTTTGCTTCACTTTTCTCAAGATATTCAGAATATGAAAAAGAATTAATGACACATTTACTGCCCCCATTCCTAATATAACATTTCTAAGGAGTTTCCCAACAAAGATATGGGAGATGTAACTTTAAAATAACCTTCATGTAGCCATAAATCCATATGTTTAGGGATGACCGGGCAAATGGAAAGCTCACAGTCTTTTGGTCAAAATAATGACATAAACTTGTTATTGGGATCACACTTAGTGCCCATGCATGGGAACCCTTTCATCTCAGTATTTTAAGAATCAAGGCAGCAATTTTGGCCTTGTGTGTCTGAGTGTAAGCTTTGAGTGAATATTGCCAGGGCTGGCTGGACTCTGGAGCGATTTTTCTGCTGCTTACTTTCATTGAAAGTCTAAGGTCAAGGTCATAGCTCTCAGATCATAGAAGTGGCATCCGTTCTAGCCTGGCTCTGGTACCATGCTTAGAAACCTCTCCTTACTGTCTCCAATTTGCTGGGCCAGCTGCTCCTCAGCCTTCTGAAGTGTCACTAGTTACAAGTTGCTTTGCAAATGAGTCAACTCTTGGCACAAGCAGATTTGAGAATTAGAGATACAGAAAGTTAGTGAATGCAATCCCTTAGCCAAATTGCACTCTCCTACAACAAAGAGGGAAACTGTTGTTAGTAAAATCCCTGAATCATGGGTCTGGACCAGCTGCAGAGAGGCCCTCAGGTCCAGTGGGGAGCACAAATCCCACAGGGACTCCCTCATCCCACTTGCTGAGTGGCTTTCCTGCGGTTGCCTCCCCAGTCAGTACAGTCATTGAAGTATTTCCGTGAAGACGGAAAATAGGGGAATAACAAAGGTTATAAAAATATGCTTCTGGAAAAATATTTTCTAAAGTAGGGAATTAAAATTAGAGACCTGGGGTAGCAAACTGGACCCACATTTACCAGTGATTACTCAGCATTTCTAAGCCTTGCTCTTCAGGAGAGAATAAACATTGAGCTGTTCCTGGTCGCTTTATATATGCATCTCACTTAATCCTCTCATGAATTCCAAGGGCAGGTGGTGTTAGCTTTGTTTTATCAATGAGAAAACAGTTTTCAGAAGCTGTGTAGCACAGGATCACACAGCAGCAAAGTGAGGACACCAAGGTTTGAACCCAGAGCCGCATTGTGCCAAAGCCCTTACCCACACTCCCAGCCTCCCCACCACATGGCCTCCACTCTGAACATTTACATTTAAGGGGATTGTGAATTTTTTTTTTTTTTTACAAAAGCACAAAAGATACCTAAAATGCATACTATAATCCTTTTAACAAGCCTTGGAAACCCTAATCATTACTACCTGAATCACATAATTCAAGAAAGCCAATTTCCAAATAGGCCCCAGAGAACCAAACATTTCAAGTGAGACAGTAGAACTGAACTGCTTTATTTCCCTCTTCCTCTTTTTCTATCACTTACAGCACATTTACCTGGATCAGACACAATGTATGTGCTGTGTACACACTAGCTCAAGTCCTCGTGGTGACTCTAGGAGTGGAGAGGTACTATTACTATCCCCATTTTACCAACAAGCTGGGCACTGCCCCAAAGTCTCGCAGCAAGGAGAAGAAACTGACTGAGCTTTGGGCCTTGCATTGTGGTTCTGGAATCTACCCTCTTCACCACCGCAGACCCCCTTTCTGTGTTCTCACCAGGCTCACGATGGGAGGGCAGGGCAGGAGAATGCGCCCATCCCAAATGTGTTCTCTGAGCCATGTCCTGCTAATGCTGGGTCCAGTGTTTAGAAGAATGCCTCCTGAAGAGCAGTAGCGTTCTCCTACCTCGTTGCGTGTATGCAGTGCTTTTAATGGAACACCAGCTCACAACCTCTGGAGCGAGCCAGTGTTCTGTGCCCTCGTCAGAAAGTCTGCTTCGGGATAATGATCTCCTGACACAGAACTGTGCTGGAAACTCCAAAAAAGCAACACTGATTAGTAGCCAAAAGAACAGCTAGAGCCACTCTGTAGAAACCACTCACTTCAACCTCCTTCTTTCTTGGGTCGACAGCTTCCCTCTGAAAACATGGTCAGTCTGAGTACCATCAGCCAGCAGCGTTGGGTGAGCAAGGTGCTTCACATCCAGCTGCCTGCCCATCCCCAGGAGCGTCATTTGGAAAACTTGGAAAACAAGGCGGCCAGGCTTCTTGATCTCTAAACTGTGTCCCAATCCTATTATTTATGACCCAATCCTATCTCCTTTGATCTGAGAATCCAGGCAGAGAAGCATCTACAGAAAGCAAAGTAAAGAACACAGTTATGTTTTCCATAAGAAGAAAAATGGTGGGTGTTTAGAAATGGCTTAAAACAGAGATAATGAAGACCAGTTTGTCAACTGCCTTTGCTCAGTTTGGGTTTTACCTGACAGGCACTGAGCCTGTCTTTAATGTTTGATGCAATTGCCACAAAGCCATGAGGCTGCTGCAGTGATGCTGGGGTGACACATCCAGTCTCTTTAAGCACATGACAGGGCCTGGCTCAGAGGGGATGATGCTTAGATGGGCTCCCACTGCAGTGCCCGGGGTCAGCCTTCTGCCAAGAAATGAAGTATTGCTGCTAAATTATTGATTTTTTTTTAAACAGGCGCTTGAATAAAATTGTTTGGCGAGCATTATCTCAAGAGGAAAAAGAAAAGTAAGCCATTCCCTCCTCACCTTTTTTTGGGGTGAAATTCACATAACCTAAAAATTAGCTGTTTTAAAGTATACAATGCAGAGGTATTTAAAATATTCAAAATGTTCTACAAACCACTACCTTTTTCTAGTTTCAAAACTTTTCATCACCCCAGAAAAACACCTTGCACCCATAAATTAATCACTCCCATTCCTTTCTCCCCTTTTCTGGGTTACCACCAGTTTGCTTCCTGTCTCTATGATTTTGGCTACTCTGGATATGTCATATGAAGGGAATCATACAGCATGTGACCTTTTGTGTCTGGCAGCTTTTACTTAGTTAATGGAAAAACTTCATGTCTTCAAGGTTCACCCAAGTTGCAGCATGTGTCAGTACTACGTATGTATATATGCGCCACTTTTGTCTGTCCATTCTTCCATTCACTGCCATTTGGGTTGCTTCCACTTTTTTGCTATCATGGAACAATGTTGCTATATGCATCAGTGTAGAAGTTTCTTTGTGGACATATGTTTTCATTTATCTTGGGTATATACCTAGCAGTGGATTTACTTGTCATATGGTAATTCTATGCTTAACTTTTTGAGGAACCACCAAACTGTTTTCCACAGTGGCAACACCATTTTTAGAAACTATTTTTATAGATCCATAATTGTACATATTTTGGGGTACATGTGATATTTTGATATGTGCACACATGTGTAATGATTCAATCAGGGTGTTTAGCCTATCACCTTAAACATTCATTATCTCTTTGTGTTGTGAACATTTCAAGTTGTCTCTTCTAGCTATTTTGAAATATACAATAAATTCTTGTTAATTATGGTCACCCTACTGTGTTAGCAAGTGCTAGAACATTTTCCTTCTACCTAACTGTATGTCTGTATTCATTAACCAACCTCTCTTCATCTCCCCTGCCGCCACACACACTCTTTCTTGCCTCTGGTAACTATGATTCTATTTTCTGCCTCCATAAGATCAACTTTTTTCTTTTTTTTTTTAGTTCCTATAGATGAGTGAGAACATGTGCTATTTGTCTTTCTGGGCCTGGCTTATCTCACTTAATATCTGACCTCCAGTTCCATCCATGTTGCTGCAAATGACAGCATTTTGTTCCTTTTGTGACTGAAGAGTATTCCATTGTGTAGATAGATAGATAGTTAGATAGATAGATAGATAGATAGATAGATATAAATAACATTTTCTTTATCCATCTATTGATGGATACTTAGTTTGATTCAATATTTTGCTGCCAATAAACATGAGGGTGCTGGTGTCCCTATGATATATACTGATTTACTATTTTTGGATAAATATCCAGTAGTGGGATTGCTGGATCAGGTGGTAGGTTCTTATTGCTCTACCTCCTCATGAACACTTGATATTTTTCTTTAAGTCATCCTACTGTGTGTGAAAAGCTATTCTATTGTGGTTTTGATATGCATTTTCTTAATGACCAATGATGTTAAAAACATCTTTTCATGTGCTTGTTGTCCATTTGTATATCGTCTTTGGAGAAACGTTTAATCAAGTTCTTTGTCCATTTTCAAATTGGGTTGTGTTTTTGTTATTAAGTTTTGTTGTATGACTTGTGAGTATTAAGTCATTATCAGATATCTGATTTGCCAGTGTTTTCTCCCATTCTGTGAGTTGTCTTTTCATATTCTTCATAATGTCCTTGGATGTGCAAAGGTTTTTAAGTTTTAGGAAGTGAATTTATCTTTTTTTTTCTTTTCTTGTTTGTGTTTTTGTCAAATCTAAGAATCCATTGCCAAATACAAAGTCATGAGCATTTAGCCTTTTGTTTTCTTCTAATATGTTTATGGCTTTCTCTTACATTTAGGTTTTTGATCCATTTTTGTGTATGGTGTGAAGTAGGGTTCCAACTTTATTCTTCTGCATATAAATACCCAGTTTATCCAGCACTATTTGTTTAAGAGACTGTGCTTTCCCTTTGAATTGTCTTGGTACCCTTGCCAAAAATCATCTGACCATAAATGTTTGGGTTTATTTCTGGACTCTTGTTTCTATTCCATTCGTCTATATGACTATTTTTATGCAAGTTGACACTGTTTTAATTACTGTTGATTTGTATTAAGTTTTGAAATTGGGAAGTATGAGTCCTTCAACTTTGATCTTCTATTTGAAAATTATCTGGACTATTCAGGGCCCCTTGAAATATTATATAAATTTGAGGATTTATGTTTTTATTTCTGCAAAAAAATTGAAATTTTTATAGGGATTATATTTAATCTATAGATTGCTTTGAAGAGTATTACCATCTTAATAATATTGTCTTCCAATCCATGAACGTAGGATGCCTTTCCATTTATTCAGTGGATCTTTAATTCCTTCAGCAATGTTTTATAGTCTTCAGTATACATGTCTTTCACATCCTCTGTTATTTTGTTCTTTTGGATGCTATTATGAATGGGATTGTTTTCTTAATTTCATTTTCAGATTCTTCATTGCCGGCACATAAAAACACAACTGAATTTTGTATCTTGACCTCGTACCTTGCAACCCTGCTGAATTTCTTGGTACTAATCATTTTATGGGGAATCTATGGAATTTTTTTACATATAGAAACATGTCATCTGCAAGTAGGAATAATTTTACTTCTCCCTTACTAATTTGGATACCTTTTATTTCTTTTTCTTGCCTAATTGACCTAGCTAGTATTTCCAGAACAACATTGAATAGCAGTGGTAAAAGGGGACTTTCTTGTCTTGTTCCTGATCACAGTGAGAAAGCAAGGAAGTTCCCTTGTATTCCTAGTTTTCTGATTGTTTTTATCGTGAAAAGTGTGTGTTAAATTTTGTCAAGTGCTTTTTCTGTATCTATTGAGATGATCGCCTGTTGATAATTTTTTCCCTTTGCTCTATTAATGTGATATATTAAATCATTTGATTCCTTAGGTTGAACCACTCTTGCATTTCTGGCATAAATTCTACTTACTCATGATGTTAATCCTTTTAATATTCCGTTGGATTTGATTTGCTAGTATTTTATTTTATTAAGAATATTTATGTCCATATTTATAAAGAAAATGGTCTGTAGTTTTTTTGACATGTCTCTCTAGCCTTGGTATCAGGGTAATTTTATTCTTGTTGACTGTTAAGTATTCCCTCATCCATTTTTTGGAAGAGTTTGAGCAGTATTGTTGTTAATCATTTGTTTGGTAGAATTCACCAGTGAAGGCATCTACTTCTGAACTTGTCTTTGTTTGGGGGTTTTTGATTTCTTATTCAAAGTCTTTAATTGTCATATAGCCTGTTGAGATTATCTATTTCTTCTTGAGTCATTTTGGTAATCTGTTTCTAGGAATTTGTGCATTTCATCTAGATTATCTATTTTTGTCATAAAATTACTTATAGTATTCTCTATAATTCTTTTGATTTTTGTAAGCTCATTAGTAATGTGCCTGGTTTCACTTCTGATAGAAGTAATTATGTATTTTCTCTTTTTAGATAGCCTAGCTGACAATTTGTCAATTTTGTTGATATTGTCAAAGGACAGACTTTTCATTTTGTTGATTCTCTTTTCTATTCTATATTTTGTTTATAAGTGCTCTGCTCTTTATTATGTTCTTCCTCTGCTGGCTTTGGGTTTAGTTTTCCCTCCTTTTTCTAGGTCCTTAAGGTGTAAATTTAGGTCATTGATTTGAGAGCTATCTTTTTAATGAAGGAATTTACAGTCATAAAATTTCCCCTGAGCACTGGCTTTGCTGCACCCATAAATTTGGGTGCATTGTGTTTTCATTTTTATTTATCTCAAATTATTTTCTAAATTCTCAAGTAATTTCTTCTTTGGTCTATTGGTTGTTTGAATGCGGTATTTAATTTCTATGTATTTTCCATTTTTCCAGTTTTTCCTTCATTATTGTTCTAGCTTTATTCCATTGTGGGTAGAAAATATGCTTTGTGATTTTGACCTTTTAAAATCTTGAGAATTGCTGTGACTAACATGTGGTCTATCCTAGAAAATGTTACATGTGCACTTAATGTATATTCTAATGTTGCTGGGTGGGGTGTTTTGGATATGTTTGTTGAGTCTAGTTCATTTATAGTGTTTTCTAGTCCTCTATTTTCTTTTACATTTTCTGTCTAGATGTTTTATCCGTTATTTAAAGTGACGTGTTGAAGTCTCCAACTATTTTTACACAATTGGCCCTCCATATATGTGGGATCTGCATCCATGATTCAACCAACCATGGATCAAAAATATTTGAAAAAAAAAAAAAAANAAAAAAAAAAAAAAGAAAAATAACAATGCAACAATAAAAAACAATACAAGTAAAAATCAGTATAGTATAACTATTTACATAGCATTTACATTGTATTAGATATTATAAATAATCTAGACATGATTCAAAGTATGCAAAAGGATGTGTGTAGGTTATATGCAAATATGATGCCATTTTATTTAAGAGACTTGAGCATCTGTGACTTTTGGTGTCCATGGGGGTACTAGAACCAGTTCTCCATGGATACCAAGGCACTGGTACATAACTACCTGTGCCTCCCTGTGATTCTAACAATATTTGCCTCATGCATTTTAGGGCTCATTGTGCATGTATGTTTCTAATTTTTGTATCTGCTTGATGATCTGAGACTTTTACCAATATAAGATGTCACTTTTTATCTCTTGTAACAGTTTATAACAAAATTTACTTTGCTGATAATATTACAGCCACTCCAACTCTTTTTGGTTACTATTTCCATGGAATATCTTTTTTATCCTTTCACTTTTAACCTATTTGTGTCTTTAGGTCTAAAGTGAATCTCTTTTTAAGGAGTGTATAGTTGGATCATTATTTTCTTCATTCAGGCAGTTTTTCTAAGTGGTGAGTTTAATCTATTGACATTTAAAGTGATTATCAGTAATGAATTTACTTCTGCCATTGTGCTATTTATTTGGCATGTCAAAATTTTGTTCCTCGATTTCTCCAATATTTCTTTTAGTTTTGATTCGTTCTAATGTGTCGTTGTGATCACTCTTTA